TCATGGCAGGCCACATGGCACAGGGGCTTCACCTCTCCCCCACTTTCTAGGTATCTAGGGTGAGGATATCCAGGGACACAAGTCACAGTGCGTCCTTTCCTTGTGTTCAAGAACAGGACATCTTCCAGCCTAGCCCTGCTTCCCTCTGACTCCTCAGGATCACTCTGACTCAGAGCCCTGCCATGGGGAGTGTTCCAGTCCAAGTCTACCTGGTCTTCACTGCCCCATCCTGACCCTCCCCTGCCTGGTCTGACCCTCCACTGTCCATCTGGACCCTCCCCTGCCTGATCTGACCCTCCACTGTCCATCTGGACCCTCCCCTGCCCGGTCTGACCCTCCACTGTCCATCTGGACCCTCCCCTGCCTGATCTGACCCTCCACTGTCCATCTGGACCCTCCCCTGCCCGGTCTGACCCTCCACTGTCCATCTGGACCCTCCCCTGCCTGATCTGACCCTCCACTGTCCATCTGGACCCTCCCCTGCCTGGTCTGACCCTCCACTGTCCATCTGGACCCTCCCCTGCCTGATCTGACCCTCCACTGTCCATCTGGACCCTCCCCTCCCTGGTCTGACCCTCCACTGTCCATCTGGACCCTCCTCTGCCTGGTCTGACCCTTCACTGTCCACCTGGACCCTCCCCTGCCCAGTCTGACTCTCCACTGTCCATCTGGACCCTACTTGCCTGGTCTGACCCTCCACTGGCCATCTGGACCCTCCCCTGCCTGGTCTGACCCTCCACTGTCCATCTGGACCCTCCCCTGCCTGGTCTGACCCTCCACTGTCCATCTGGACCCTCCCCTGCCTTGTTTGACCCTCCACTGTCCATCTGGACCCTCCCCTGCCTGATCTGACCCTCCACTGTCCATCTGGACCCTCCCCTGCCTGATCTGACCCTCCACTGTCCATCTGGACCCTCCCCTGCCTGGTCTGACCCTCCACTGTCCATCTGGACCCTCCCCTGCCTGATCTGACCCTCCACTGTCCATCTGGACCCTCCCCTGCCTGATCTGACCCTCCACTGTCCATCTGGACCCTCCCCTGCCTGGTCTGACCCTCCACTGTCCATCTGGACCCTCCCCTGCCTGATCTGACCCTCCACTGTCCATCTGGACCCTCCCCTGCCTGATCTGACCCTCCACTGTCCATCTGGACCCTCCCCTGCCTGATCTGACCCTCCACTGTCCATCTGGACCCTCCCCTGCCTGATCTGACCCTCCACTGTCCATCTGGACCCTCCCCTGCCTGATCTGACCCTCCACTGTCCATCTGGACCCTCCCCTGCCTGATCTGACCCTCCACTGTCCATCTGGACCCTCCCCTGCCTGATCTGACCCTCCACTGTCCATCTGGACCCTCCCCTGCCTGATCTGACCCTCCACTGTCCATCTGGACCCTCCCCTGCCTGATCTGACCCTCCACTGTCCATCTGGACCCTCCCCTGCCTGATCTGACCCTCCACTGTCCATCTGGACCCTCCCCTGCCTGATCTGACCCTCCACTGTCCATCTGGACCCTCCCCTGCCTGATCTGACCCTCCACTGTCCATCTGGACCCTCCCCTGCCTGATCTGACCCTCCACTGTCCATCTGGACCCTCCCCTGCCTGATCTGACCCTCCACTGTCCATCTGGACCCTCCCCTGCCTGATCTGACCCTCCACTGTCCATCTGGACCCTCCCCTGCCTGATCTGACCCTCCACTGTCCATCTGGACCCTCCCCTGCCTGATCTGACCCTCCACTGTCCATCTGGACCCTCCCCTGCCTGATCTGACCCTCCACTGTCCATCTGGACCCTCCCCTGCCTGATCTGACCCTCCACTGTCCATCTGGACCCTCCCCTGCCTGATCTGACCCTCCACTGTCCATCTGGACCCTCCCCTGCCTGATCTGACCCTCCACTGTCCATCTGGACCCTCCCCTGCCTGATCTGACCCTCCACTGTCCATCTGGACCCTCCCCTGCCTGATCTGACCCTCCACTGTCCATCTGGACCCTCCCCTGCCTGATCTGACCCTCCACTGTCCATCTGGACCCTCCCCTGCCTGATCTGACCCTCCACTGTCCATCTGGACCCTCCCCTGCCTGATCTGACCCTCCACTGTCCATCTGGACCCTCCCCTGCCTGATCTGACCCTCCACTGTCCATCTGGACCCTCCCCTGCCTGGTCTGACTCTCCACTGTCCATCTGGACCCTACTTGCCTGGTCTGACCCTCCACTGGCCATCTGGACCCTCCCCTGCCTGGTCTTACCCTCCCTTGTCCATCTGGACCCTCCCCTGCCTGGTCTGACTCTCCACTGTCCATCTGGACCCTACTTGCCTGGTCTGACCCTCCACTGGCCATCTGGACCCTCCCCTGCCTGGTCTGACCCTCCCTTGTCCATCTGGACCCTCCCCTGCCTGGTCTGACCCTCCACTGCCCATCTGGACCCTCCCCTGACTGGTCTGACCTTCCACTGTCCATCTGGACTCTCCCCTGCCTAGTCTGACCCTCCATTGCCCATATGGACCCTCCCCTGACTGGTCTGACCCTCCACTGCCCATCTGGACCCTCCCCTGCCTGGTCTGACCCTCCACTGCCCATCTGGACTCTCCCCTGCCTAGTCTGACCCTCCATTGCCCATATGGACCCTCCCCTGCCTGGTCTGACCCTCCATTGCCCATATGGACCCTCCCCTGCCTGGTCTGACCCTCCATTGCCCATATGGACCCTCCCCTGCCTGGTCTGACCCTCCATTGCCCATATGGACCCTCCCCTGCCCCAGCCTGGTCTATGCAGCCAGCATCATCCCAGTTGGAAACCTGGTGGCAGATCCCATAAGGACATAAGGAGCCCCAGTAACCCCTCTTCCCCCAACCCTGCCAGGGCTCTGGGCCTGTCACCAGCTCTGTCCACACAGCCCTGCAGGCCAGAATCAAGTACTGATGACAGCCTCTCTGTGGAGGCATAGCAGATGCTATAGGGAGGGTCAGGAGGAGGGTCAGATGGGGTGGGGCCCTGACCTGGGCACCAGTTAGTGACTCTCCTTGAGAGAAATAGAAATATCTATAGTCTCATCTGTTAGTTGATCGTATTGAAGGAAGATACACTGCGGTCATAACGTGGAAACCTCAGAAGCAGGGAGGCTAGTATTCAACTTGATAATGAATTCTGCAAGTCAGAGTCAGCCCTGAGTGAACTCAGTGAGGCAGGTGTGGCCCTCTGCCCCAGGTCTGGGGGTTGCAGCCCTCGGGAGCCCCTGTGCCAGTGTCTCTGCCCCCAGCCTCTGCCTGGCAGTCATTACTGTCATGCAGGGATGAGAAGTGGGGAGTGTGTGGGGTGAGACTCAGCCTGGGGACATGGCCCTTTAGATACAGTCTCAGGACATAGGTTGCTCCCTATCACTGTACCCAGCACTTGAGATAACCCCCTACAAGATCACTAGTTTCTTTGGGGCTCATGGCTTCAGAGATTTCAGTCCATGGTGGGCTGGCCCTGTGGCTTTGGGCTTGTCATGACATGAGGTAGGAGGGAGCACTAACATATGTCTGGAGAAAAAAGATGGAGTGGCTGGTGCCCACCCCACCTCTGCCCACCTTCCAGGGCCTTGGATGGCTGCAGATCTCCATGCAGTCCACCCCTTCAGGCTCCTTCCAGGGCATAGGCTGAAGCACAGGCCCCTGGGGACTCCTGCCCCCACCAGCACTGCCTCTTTCGCTGCTGTTGACCAATGAGAGATCCAGACAGTAGTTCCCCCGGAACCAGGCACTGAAGAGACAGGGCCACTCTGCAAACCTTCCCCACAAGCTGAGATACTAGCAGCTACACAAAGACATGCTAGAGTAAGACAGAGTTCCCTATACCTCCAGCAAACTCCCTCTGATCCAGCAAACAAACCAGCACCTGGGCCACAAACCAAGTCCTTAAGGAAGGTGGGGTCTGACCCATAGAATGGGCTCAGGGACTGTTTTTAACTGTAGTCCCAGGTGCCAGGAGCCACACACCAAGCTGGTGGCTGGTGCTCAAGTGTGTGTAAGACACCTGCCTATCCCAGAACTTCAGCTTGGGAATGCCCCTCCCCCACTTCGGTGCAGGCTAATTTGCTTGCCGGCTACTGGAGTAGAGCAAGGACCACCCCAGCACACCAATACATCCTCACTGGAAGAAGAGTCTAGATGTGTGGAGATGCTAGAAAAACATCTCAGTGTCTGGTTGCACTCAGTCAGAGTGCCTGCTGTCGCTGTCACAGCCTTCCATACCTTAAATGCCACCCTAGTGAGGTTCAGTGGGCCAGCAGAGGCCTGATTCCAGGTGCTGGCATGCAGTCCCATAGCTAACCCAGGGATACTGATAGAGTACAGGGAACTGAGCGGAGCTTCATAGACACTGGTGGTGAGGCATCTGAGCTGCTGAGGAGGCACAGGAAGGAGCTAGAAGATCCTCTGGGTATTGATTGACACCGTGCAGAAGGGCAGCTACAAAGCAAGGTGACAGAAGGAGCTGTTGCCAGTACCGGTACCCATGGGCTGGGGACACTGGCCTCAATGACCCTTGATGGTCATAGGGCTACAGAGCCACCCTCACCTTTGCTGCCGTGTCTGGACCCCACACCGTGACGCGGGAATGCAAACGTACTCCAAAGGACAGCAGATTTCTGGTAGTAAGGACACAGGATACCAATGAGGCCCATGGAGCTGGCATAGGGTTAGGAAGGGTCTTTATTGCTCAGAAGACTCAAGTGTTTTCAGAGAAGGCGCTGGTATGGCAAGGGGACGCTGCTTGACCCACAGAGAGCAGAGGAGGGACAGCATTGCCATGGTCTGCCCTGAAGCCCAGAGCATGGAGTGTGGACATCCTTCCATGGATTCCAGGCAGGCAGTGGCTACACCACCAGACCAAGGAAATGGTCTGTGCGGGGAGGAGGAGGGCAAGGGGGGCAAGTCAGGACAGGGCTGTGACTTCCAGGGGAGACCTGGGCCCGTTGGCTCAGCAGCTGGACTTCTGTCCGGAGGAGAGGCCTCAGCAGGCCTGGCTGGAGCAGGCCGGGCGGCAGAGCAGGGACACAGAGGAGGACCCAAGGCCGCAGCTGGACTGGCAGGAGGAGGCACAGCAGGAGGAGGCGGGCACGCAGCAGGCGGGTCTGCACACGGGGCGGCAGAGCAGGGACATGCTGGAGCAGGGTCTGCAGCAGACGGGCTTGCAGCAGAGGGGCACACAGCAGGACGACTGGGATGAGGGCTGGCAGCTAGACTGCTGGCCGCAGGGGGATCCAGAGCAGATGGGTGCACAGCAGACAGGTTCACAGCAGACAGGCTTGCAGCAGACTGGTGTGCAGCAGAGGGGCTTGCAGCAGAGGGTCACACAGCAGGGGGAGGAGCTGCCACAGGGTGAGGAGCTGCAGCCCGAGGTCTGGCAGCTGGACTGTTGGCCGCAGGATGAGGAAGACCCACAGCAGACTGGCTCACAGCAGACAGGTTTACAGCAGACTGGTGTGCAGCAGACGGGCTTGCAGCAGAGGGTCACACAGCAGGGGGAGGAGCTGCCACAGGGGGAGGAGCTGTAGCTGGACTGTTGACAGCATGGTGTGGAGGAGCTGGGGCAGGTGGATTGGCAGCAGGGGCTGGACACACAGCTCGCTGGGGTGCAGACAAGGGTCAGGCAGGGGGCCGGAGCACAGCAGGTGGACTGGCAGCAGCTTGGGGCACAGCAGGGCTCACAGTAACTCTCTGGACAGTCGTCCACCTGCCAGAAGGACTCGGTGTGGGCGTCGGAGCAGACAGACATGGTGGAGGCGGCCATGGCAGGTGGGGCTGGAGGAGGGTATGAGTGAATGTGAGTGTGTGTGTCTGTGTGTGTGTGTGTGTGTGTGTGTGTGTGACTGTGTGGATCAAGGGGCTGGGCCCTCAGCTTTTATCCCCCTCCCTGACTGTGTTTTCCCAACAGGAGGCCTCCCTCTTCCTTGTTTGGGGACCCAGCAAGCTCATTAGTGGGTTCTTGTTTAGCTCTGAGGTGCCACTCAGCTTGTAAACATCCTGAATGTAGGAAGATGTTTCTATTCCCTGTCTCTGCATGAACAGGGCATGTCTCTGCCTGTACCTCAGAGGTGTGCAGCTGTGCGGGCAATCCCCAACCTCCACCCCTGAGCCAACAGCAAGACAGACCCCAGCTCCCTGAGGACTCCGCGGGCTGAGCTTCCAGGGAGCCCAGCAAGAAAGCCTTGGTACAGGAGCCCCAAGGGTTTCTACAATCTACTCTCTGTGCAGAAAGGCCCCGAGGGCCAGCATGCAATCTGTGCAAAGGCACTAGTGATGCTATTAGGTAACCTGGACAGACTGGGGGAAACCCTGGGGCTGCATGCCCCCCCGTGCTTAGGTGCAGGCTGCCCACAGCCTTAGAGTGTGCTGGACCACACCCCATAGCAAGGGTCATTGTGCACAGGGTACACTGATGCTCCATGATGGTCCCCTGCTGGTAGAAAAGGCCATACCTCATGAGTTGCCCATGTACAGAGGTGCTAGGGGGAGATGAGAGAAACTGAGGCACTTGGTGTTAAAATTTTCAACAGCCACGATGGGAAGGGGACCTGCCCAGTGGAACCCTGAGGGGGATGTTTTGACACAGCTGTGTGGAGAGCCACTTTTCACTACACCCTGCTCCCAACACACTGGCTATGAGGCAAGTAATATGCATTGTTCTGAGCCACATAGCAACAGGGAATGAATGCATGGACCAATTTAGAACGCTTTCAGCTGTAAAGATGACAGATCTTTACAGAGTCACAGGAAAAGAGTTTCTAGAATTAAGCCAAAAAATATGTTGGGCCAGGTATGATAGAATTTGTGTTGTTAAAGATCTATAAACATGGAGACATTTATGTATTTCCATACATGTTGTATGTATGCATAGAGGGTGGGTATTAGAATAGGTAGATGATAGATGATGGATGAATAAGTGAATGGGTGGATAAATGAATGGGTAGATGGATGGATGAGTGAATGGATGGGGAGATGGATGAGTGGATGGGCAGATGGATGGATGAGTGGGTGGATGAATGGATGGGTAGATGAATAGGTAGATGGATGGGTGGGTAGATGAATAGGTAGATAAATGGATGGATAAGTGAATGCATAGATGGATGAGTGGACAGATGGGTGAATGGATGGGTGGGTGGGTAGATGGATGAGTGGGTGGATGGATGAATGGGTGGGTGAATGGATGGATGAGTGGGTGGATGAATAGATGGGTAGATGGATGGATGAATGGGTGGGTGGATGGATGATGGATGAATGAGTGGATGGGTGGGTGGATGGATTGATGGATGAGTGGGTGGGTGGATGGATGGATGGATGGGTAGATAAATGGACAGATAAGTGAATGGGTAGATGGAAAGATGAATGGGTGGGTGGATGAGCAAATGAAAGGATAGATGGATGAATGGATAGATAGGTAGATGGATGAGTGGGTTGGTGGATGGTTGGGTAGATAGATGGATGAGTGGATGGATGGATGAGTGGGTGGGTGAATGGGTGGGTGGATGAGTGGGTAGATGGATGAATGAGTAGATAAATGGATGGATATGTGGATGGGGAGATGGATGGATGAATGCGTGGGTGGGTGGATAGATGAATGGGTGGGTGGGTGGATGGATGGATGGATGGATGAGTGGATGGATGGATGGGTGAGTGGGTGGGTGGAAGAATGGGTAGATAAATGGATGGATAAGTGAATGGGTAGATGGATGCATGAATGGGCAGGTGGGTCGATGGATGGATGGATGGATGGATGAGTGGGTGAGTAGATGGATGGATGGATGAGTAGGTAGGTGGATGGATGAGTGGGTGGGTGGGTGGATGGATGATAGGCAAACATTAGATCCTTACTATTTGTGGATTCTGTTTCTTAATTTTTACTCTCTAACCTTTATCTGCAGCTCCAGACCTACTCATGGCCCTTCTGTGGTCATCCGTGGATTTGCACAGAGCATGGAACCTTGAGGCACACATTCCTAGCTGGGTGGGCTGAGATGATGAGGCTCTATCTTCAGGTTTTAGTTCATTCTGAACAAAGTATCCTCATCAGGTGTCCTTGGTGCTGCGATTTTTGACATCACACTGTCTTGCCAAGAAATGACCATAAGCAATGCTGAGGGACCTTGTTCAGTCACACCAGGTACCTCACAGGGACCACACATGTTCTGACTGGGATCTTCTGCTGGTGCGAGGCTGATGGTGACGAGTCAGAATATGGATGGCTCAAGGTGCCTTTAGGCAGAAGCACAGCACACAACCTCCTGTGTTCATCCATCAGCATATGTGATGATGATGAACAGTGGTTAAAGGGAAACTGAGCCTGTGTGAACTCCAGCAGTGACTGGTCAGAGTGTGCTGAATCAGTGCTGGTGACTTATAGAACAGTCACCAGGGTGATAAGAACGGAGTGTGTGTGTGTGTGTGTGTGTGTGTGTGTGTGTGTGTGCCTGTGCACAGACAGATGGAAACAGAGGACATAGGAGCAGTTCCTTCCTGAGGGTCCTGGTCAGCACTGGCCTCAGGTGGCACGGCCTCCCTTCCAGATGCATCTTTAACATTGGCTCTGTATGCATATGTGACTAAATTGGCCATGGATACCCAGCCCAAATGTTTGAGAGGCTGTACTACGTGACTGATGGGCGGAAGGGCTAGTGAAGGGTGTCAGCAGCTTTGGAGGATGGCAGAGTGGACAGGAGATGGCTCGAGAGCACTGAGCAGCAAGGCCCATGGGCACCAGGCGCATGCGGTACTCCTATAGTTTACATAGACTGGACACATTGTGGGTGAGATGGCTGTATGTTCCTTAGTTTAGAGCCCGAGACTCCAGTCAGGAGCAGCCACATTGCCTAAGTCGGGAAAAGGTTGAGCCCACCAACTTGTGGCCCTAGACACAAGGACTGGGTGAACAGTGGGCAGAGAGCAGGGTAGAGGTGGCACAGGACAGGACATGAGTGATGCAGATGCTGAGGAGACACTGGAAAGTTCAGGACAGGGGTCACAGTCAGTCACAGCCCCTCACACCTACCCTGGATGGGTCATCGACCACCTCTGGCCTCAGGGCACTATTACAAGGTGGCAACTATCTCATCTATAGCTGAGGCATTGTGACAGGGAGGGGATCACAGGCATGGCTCCCAGCACCCTGCAGAAGGAGCTAGGGTCCTGGCAACCAGCCATATCCAGAGACGTCCCTGTAGCCCTATGATGGCTGGGACAAGCCCCCTCACACGACACCCCAACCTCACTGCTCACAGAGCCCCACCTGGGGCTGCTGCTTCAAGAACCACACGCTGGCAGGACACGGTGAACCCCACAACATCCCAGACAAACAAACACACACACTAATGATGGCCACAAGGACACAAACAAGGAAGGGAGGCTGAGCCAGACAACAGCACAGGGGGATAAAAGCCAATGGCCAGGCACCTCACACACACTCACACTCACTCAGGCAGTCAACTCTCCTCCAGCCCAACCTGCCATGGCCACCTCCACCATGTCTGTCTACTCCAACGCCCACACCGAGTCCTCCTGGCAGGTGGACGACTGTCCAGAGAGCTACTGTGAGCCCTGCTGTGCCCCCAGTGGCTGCCAGTCCAGCTGCTGTGCCCCGGCCCCCTGCCTGACCCTTGTCTGCACCCCAGTGAGCTGTGTGTCCAGCCCCTGCTGCCAATCCACCTGCCCCAGCTCCTGCACACCATGCTGTCAACAGTCCAGCTGCAGCTCCTCCCCCTGCCAGCAGTCCTGCTGTGTGCCCCTCTGCTGCAAGCCGGTCTGCTGCACACCAGTCTACT